AGCATTGGGAATTTCATATTGTTTATAATAATATAAGATTTGACAAATTAATTGTACATTCTTATAATATTAGGTTAAAGGAAAAATGCAATGTTTGTTTAATAAAAGATGTTGTTCTCATCAATTTACAAAAAAATAATCTTTATTTTTTGAAAGAATATATCAAAGCTATTAATGTTGTTACAGAAGTTCTATTTATACAGCAATATATTAACAAAGAACATATCATTCCTCTTGTTGTGGATTGGCCTAGACAGATTCATCTTAGAACAGCTATTTTATGCTACTTGTGTTATTATGATTCATCAAATATTACTAAGAATATTTTATCTTTTCTTCTTATTATAGGTTCTTTATACATTACACTAAATAGCTGAGAATTAGTATTTCTTCAATATCAGCCATTCTTTTCTGCAATGTACAAGCATATTTTCAGAGAAAATAAGTTTCTTGCAGAAAATCCTAAGCCATGATGTATCAACCTTTTTTTAGAAATTTTTTGCAGTGCATGTCAAGAAATTTTTACAATAGTAGTAGCCAAATTCAGCTTGCTGTGCAAAGATGCTGAATATTTTGCACTTAAAAATTTTTTTGACAATATGATTCCTCTTGTTCTAGATATTTATACCATATTTTTCAGATCTGGTGATTTCAATGCCTATTTCAAATTTTGTTTTTGTGTTTGGTCAGTATTCTTTAAGTTCCATCATAAAAATTATTTCAAGGCATCTTTAATGTTTCTTTCTGACATCTTTTATTGGGAGCTAAACAATTATCTGATCTTAGAGACAATAAAAGCAGAGCTTCCCAAGTTTTCTGATTCGACTGTTGAAATATTTTATAGTTTTTTGTGCTGAAGTATACAGAAACATACCGAAATGTAGCAGATTATCAAATGTGGACATTATATTAATAAATTGTGTTTGGATAATGATTTTAGAAAAAACTTTGCACATACTTTGTCATGGGTTGCTTATGAATATTCTGTGCATGATATTATAATTTTAGTAAAGAAAAGCATATATTTTCTTTTACAATGTTTTTTAGAGATTTATGTATGCTTATTTTATCACAAAATTCTGTTAATATATTAATTACAGGTTGATCTGAATCTACCATCCTAGAAGAAAAGAAAAGAAGAGCCCAACTATGACATGATTTTATTAGCAACAATGAAAATGCCAGAAGCACAATTATGCCACCTTCTTTAGGGGTTTAGTTCTTTATATAAATCAGATTCTTTTCACCATTGTGATGCATCTAAATGTTTTTTTACTCTTTTTTTATAATTACAGATATGGTTACAGTTTTAGCCTGCAGCCATACATATCACAATTCTTGTTGCATCAACAATAGGTCCAAATGCATATATTGTCTCGTATTTTTATAAAAAAGCATTGATAAACAAGTTCAGTTATTGCTAACTTATTTAAAAGAAAAAAGTTCCAAGAAGAAAAAAATTAAAAAACATGATAATAACTTTCCTAATGATGCTGATGATGATAATGATAATGAAAGTAGAACAGTAAAATATTCAATATTTGAGTTAGAAGATGCATTGCAAAAATTTCAATCATTATGTTAGTAAAATTTTTTTATGTAGAAATTTTTTTATTTTTTATTAATAACTCTGTTTTATTAAATTATTACACATCTATTACATAATAAATTATTACAATCTACTACTTAACTTCTTATTACATTACTTATCAATATATATTAATACATGTATAGTCAAATGATTATTATTTTAAATAATGAATTATAATATTTACTTATTTTAAAAACTCTTATTTTATATCTAGAATTATTAAGACTTTTTAGACAAATATCTATTTTCAAAGTTCTCTTTCATTCATTCTGATCAATTTTGTAATATATCTATTAATCCATACTGCCTTAAAAACTGTGCCAAAGCCTCTTTTAGTAGGCATTTTTACCATGGCATGCCCTCTCATAATTTTGTAAATTTTGTTATTAGTACTTATGATCCAGATCTGGCATATAAGTACAAGTGATACTAACTAATTAGTATGTTTTGTTAAAGCAATAAAGATTAAAAATTTACTCAAAGACAGTAATAATAAAGAAAAAAATTTTTCATTAATAATACCTGCCAAAATTTTTGATTGATTTGATTAGTTTACTGTTATGAGAAATTCATGAGTAAATCATCAAAAATTAACCAATTATATGAATGTCTTCCTATGAATTGGTAGATGAGATGAATTTAGTATAATATTTGCCACAAAAGCAAGTAATCACAAAGGTAGAGGAGGGAGCTTGAAAAAAATTTGTAATCTTATATGATCTAAGATTTTTTGTTAAATAGGAAGTTGGTTAGATTTTGGAAAAAATTGGACAAGCCTTATTGTCTTATTCTTCTTCATAAGAAATGATTCCAAAATTATCAGAAAATTTTTGTAGAAGTAATCAAGATCTGCAGTATCAGACTCTTAATGAATTAATGTAGACATTTTACAATATTTTGCAAATTAGATAAAAAAAAAGAAAGAGAAAATTAAGACTTAGAGAATTTTGCTAAATAACAAATATGATTGTATGTGTTAATTTTGCAAGAGTAGTAGATAAAACAAGGGTTGTATTGTGGAGGTATTACTGGAGTAGTACTAGAGTATAACTTGAAGGATTAGGATTACTACTGTGATTCGAATATTGGAAAGAACTGTAATTTGTAATACAAATTACTGTATAATATAAATAAGAACCAAATATAGTAATAAATGATTGTGTTGAATAAATATCTATAAATAGGTTGATTACAGATGTGGTATAAATTAATAAGATATAGATTTGAAAATGATTGTATAGCTATATGAAAAATGTGTAAGGGGAAAAAGAGATAGAATAGAAACAAAAAGTAGAAAAAAAGGTTTACAAAAGAGTAAATATTAAATTTGGTTGTAGCTTGACCAATGTTAGGTTAAAAATCTTTGTTTTGAGCTTGTTTTGATTAGATAACTGTGTATTACAACTTTAATTAAGAATATTGAATAGGTTAGGGCAGTAAAAACTATGAGATGATTAAAAGTTATAAACTGAAGGCCAAAAGCTGTCAGTACAGTTTTCTCGATGAGTTTAAAATATAGAAGCTTAATATTTGCAGGCTATATATAAAATGATAAGCTAAACAAGTTTACATAAGAGTCTAGAACAGGTTATCTTAGTAAAATAAATAGTATAAATAGTTTTAAACAGATGAATATTTTAGTTAATTTTTGTGCAATAGATTTGCAGAAAGAGTTAATAACTGAACTGCAAGTTGCCTGGCTGGTTATAATACAAGATCTTATAAAGCAAGGTATACAATAGTGAGAATTGGGTTATTTTTAGAAATTATATTGCTAACCATATTGAAAATTAGAGTTTTGGAAACTGCAAATTGTCTGATAGAAATTATATAATTTTATTATATTTATTATACTAAGTTTTCTTTTTTTTATATGCATTAATTAAATTACTACAAGTTATAGTTTTTTTCATTATAGTTTTCAGTAAGTTATAAGATAAGATCTAAGATATTCAACAAGAATTAGGCTATTTTCTTGAATCATTTCACTAATCATATTGATCAAATTTTAATTAGAATCTTGAAAAGCTGCAAATTATCTGGCTAGTTATAGGTAGAATCTCAAGAAGTAAGGTACATAACAAGAACTGAATGAAATATTTTTCTAACTGCATTGATCTGAATTAGAATTAAAAGAATTAGGATTGAATGATTTAAGATTAGCACTAGAGGCATTGCAAGACCACATTAAGGGTTAAAGATTTTTGATTTTTTTGTTTAAACAACTAATATGATAAATGGATCTGAATAATATTCTATATTTGTAGATACAGTTAGGATTGAGTATATTGCTTTTTTTTTATATAAATATTTTATTTTATATTTAATATATCTTTTTTTTATATCTACATTTAACTTTTTTGTTGAGACATTGTAATTTTTAATCAAATATAAATTTAGATATATGGCTAGAATCAAGATAATTAACAGATTTAATAATCAAAAAAACTTGTACAGTACAATACTTCTAAGGTTTCACACTGGTCTAAGTCTGAAGTAAGGTTTCACAATAGCAACACTAAACAAAGACAGACAAGGCATAGTAAAAAAATATAGCAGACAAAGACATAGATAGAGACAAGCAAATGTATAATAGTATTTTTTAAAAAAAATGTATTTAAATAATTTATTTTATATTAAATAAAGATTTTAAAATTGAATAAAAAGTATTACAAAAATGTTTCAAATCAGTTTATTTATTTAATTAAAATTTTATTTGCTAATAAATATATCACATAATCCTTTTCATTAATAAACAAATATTTATTGTTTAACTCAATAATGTTCTGGCAAAAATATTACCAAATTTGAAAAATATATTTCCCTTTTTTGAAAAGTATTTGGTTATTCTTAAAATGTTTTTGGCCTAATTTATTCTAATAAAGAATGATTTGAAATTAAGAAGTAAAATTTAACATTGCACAACTATTAATGTTTTAAATTCCTTTTTCTTCTGAAACATCATTGTATTATTTTGTTTATTGCATAATTGAATATTTAATGTAATTAGTAAAAATTTATATAAATGCAAATAATGCTAGAAAATATATAAAGAAATAAAGATATAAATATGCCTCATCACTCAAGGCATCAGTTTTTGTTAAAATATAAAAACTCAACTTCTTCATAATAAATTTAATTTAAAATATTTCTACATAAAATATAGTAACTGTTCATAAAAATAACCTTTTTTAAAAATAGTTAGGTCTGAATTTACTTACATTAAGGAATGTAATACTTCTGAAGAAGTTATGAAGAAAATGCTTTCATCATTGATCAATTTATTCTTGAAAATGCTCAAATCCTACTAAATAATAGTGATGAAAGAGAAGATATTAACCAAGATACTTACTACTCCTGATGAAGATGCCTTCACCATCAACCAAGTTGCTCTTAAAATGCTCAAATTATGCTAGATAAAAGTGATAATAGTAATGAAATAGAGGATATTAACTGGGATGAGCCTGAACATAAAAATTCAACTGATGAAATAGATATAAAAATTGAAGATATTTCTATAACAGGCTCAAGTTTAACACCATGTGCAATTATAAATATTATTAAAAGTAAGATAAAATGCTGTAATAGTACAACAAATCTATAATAACTTTAACAAATGATGAGAATGTGGAAAATAAATATAAATGCAATCAAAATAGTTTAAAACAATAGCATGCCAAATTTGTGATAATTTTGACAAATAGTAGATATATAGAAGAAAGATGCTGCTGCACTCAATAGACTTAATATTTGTTATACTTATTTTATTTTTGATCAAAATACATTTCATAACATAGGCATGAAAAAATCATATACAATTAAGAAAAGTATTTTTTATTTTCACATTTGTCTATTTTGTAAAAAGAAAAAATCTTTTTTTAGCCATGAGGGCTACTGTATAAAGCATTTGTAAAGTATTAATAGACATAATATTCAAGTACCTTGTGTTGGTATTCATAAATGTATTGTGTTTACTGAAGGATCTATTTCACAAAAGTCATAATTAGGTTATTGTGCATGTTATATCTGATCAGAATGTTTCCATCAGCATGATAGGCATTTGTATGAAAGACTAGAAGACAAAAAAAAGCTACAGCATTTATGTCATGCACCAAACTTGAAAAACATTACAATGATACAAGTAATGCTCTAAAATTTGTCAAAAAATGATTAATATTTGTAGCAAAATCAAATAATCAAAAGCTACAAAACAGGCTTTTATTCAAGATATTTGTATTTATTTTTAATAATACAACAGTAAACTCATTAGAAATTTCAAGCAAACTAATCATTAAAATAGTAATAAGACTAAACAAAATTAAATTAAATAACTTAACCAAGGTAAAGTCTCATATAACTCTAACAAAGGCTTCGACAATGAGAGAATAATTAGGAAAAAAAGTTTTATATACATATTCTGAAATTTAAAATAATATTAGTTAGTTAGAAAACCCAAGTTTATATGAAGACTACTTTAATGCACTGCCTAATATCATTAGTATCTTCTTTTAAGTGCTTTTTATTATACTATATTAATATAAACTTAAGATTGTTAATACTAAAAGGCTTTAATGTAGCCTTTCTCTTAAATCACAAGGTACAAATTAGATATCAAAAACCATTTCTTTAATGACTTCAATAATATTTACTATTGCTTTTTCCAAGACAAAAATCTGGCTTTTATGCATTATGTTGTTAATATTCCAAAGGCAAAATTTGGTTTCATATCTACAAAAGATTTTTTGTTTAGCATCTATTATCCTGTATACTAAGTAGCATAAAAATCAACTTGAAAGATTTAGAATGCTAAATATGGCTTTCAGAAAAAACTTAATTGAAGATTCAAATATTTGAAATCTGGCAGTAATTAATAACATTGACTTCAAAGCTTCTATATTCTTATATGACAATATTTTTGATATTATTAGAGAAACTTCTTATGCTACATTGCAGATGGTTTTTTAATTTACTATACCTAATTCTTTTGATTTAAATAGAGACCAAGAATCTATTAATTAGCTATTATTTAAAGTATCTTTAACTACTAACAACCTTTTAATAATATATAAATTTATTTTTAATAGAATGTTAGAAGCTCATATAAATGACTTTAATATAGAAGATATATATTCAGAAATCATTAAACAAATACCTATTGGTTGTAATATTTCACTACTAAGTGTTGTAATATTGAAACCTGGTGATCCATCTAATTGTAATGATAATGTCCATGCTGCATATGAAATGTACCATAATAACTTACTCCATGATAGCAATAAGTATCTATATATTGCATATAATTAAGCTATTTTTGGAAAATTAATTTCTTACAAGAAAACTCATGACAGTATTTGACTTCTTTTGGGACAATAACACACATCTAAGAACATATGCTGCACTTTAATTACAATATTCTCTGAATATAAAATATTTAATCTTGTGGCAATTCTTGACATATGATATCTAAACAAGTTTGAACATATAATAGATTACAACCAATATGGCATGTTTTAGAACTAATCTGGATTGCAGTCAGGATTGTATTATGTCAATATGTTAAAAATAAAAACAAAACCATGAATAATATTTTAAATAGTAATAATTACTTGATAAGGTGTGGCTTCTTTTTTTTTGATAGTGTTAGACCCGGAACATATGATTAACTAATCACCGATTTCATCGTAAGATCATCGTCGCACAATCAGTAGTCACGATTTTGCCTTGGCTAGGAAGATCTCACCAAAGTTGGAATCTCATGCTTATAATGATTATAATGCATATATTGCATATATTGATTATAATCAGTATAATCAATATATGCGATATAAGCGCTATCATCATTATAAGCACGATAATGGATATCGGCACCCTAACAATAGATAGACTTTTGCTTATAAATAACCTGTAATTCCATCCTAATAATAAGGCGGATTTGAACATAAGAAATAATAAACAACTTACCTTGCATATATCAAATAAAGGCTCTTCTACGAGTAACTGTAGAGAACCATCGTCATAATAAAATACTTATCCATAATAGTAATAAATCCCACCCCCATTAGTCTAGTATTCCCGAAGTAGTGTGGAATACTATAATTCTAGAATAGAGTGATAGTCTCGATGTAGTGTAGACTATCCAAGATAAGCCATACCCGAATCAAAATCGCTCGCCAAATCTACACGCCTCTTTCGACCGAAAGCCATCTGAACGTTACACGAAGCCGACCTTGATTAGCTACAGACTCGCTGATTTAGGGCATCTCAATAGACAGGATATTTCATAGGTCACAAAATTGAAATTAGAAGAGAAAATTATAAGATGCAAATGGCTAATTTAGCTGCATTTGCACCTCTTTCCCTGCAGCTAGAAAATTCAAATATGCATGCTCTGTAGCTCATTTTTTGGCTCAAGTTCATAACAATCCACAGCTGCAAAAATTATTGAAAATGGTATGCTCAGTAAATCTTACTGGAAAAGAACACTATCTTGTTTTCGATAAAGCACTTGAAACATATAAAGTAAAATTTACTAAACAAAAGATTACTAACAACCTTACCAATTCGCAACTATAATGTCAAAAATCAATGCAATCCAAAGTAAAAAGAATCATTTTTCAATGCTTCTTGCAAAATATATTAATAACATTGTGTTAATTCAAAATAATTGTACAATCAAGTTGTGCAAAGATTTACTTTGGTTTCTAGTTACTGAATTATTATTAGCCTTGAATTTTTTATGTTCTACAACTCATTTTTTGTTTAAAAATGCACCAGAGATTAGTGAAGTAGGTAATAAAAATATTCTTTTTTTTTATGAATTTGAAAAATTATGTTTTAAACAAAACTTCCACAAAATGTATACAAAACTGAGCTCTGTGTAACTTTTGAATATCATCTGCAAAATATAAAAAGTTATTCTTATATCCAACTTGAAAGCATAAAAAAACAAAAAAATAATCTCACAGTAATACCTATTCAATTAGCAATTGTTCAAGAGAAACTTTAAAATTACAGCAAATATTATCATTTGAGCTTCCAAAATGAATATGGCATGCTACTACAACTGCAGAAAAAGATATACTTTCTTAGTTATTTAATCTTAAAGAACAATTAACTGAAGCTAAAATTGCAAGTGTTTTGTCAAAACTTGAAACTATCTCTTCAGAGTGGGATATAACAAGAGTTAAGAATTATTATAACAATAACAAGCATAAAAAGTTATAAATAAGTTAGTATTATTATTTATTCATAAATAATAAGCATAATTAGAGTATACATTACCAAAATCCAGAAGTTGAATAAACTTTTACACCAATCTGTAATTCATTTGTTTTTATAAAATCCAGAAATAAAGATCTAAAAAAGCAAACTTTTATTGAGTTTAGAGTTTTATTTGATGCTTTTAATAACATGTATTTTTCTAAATCTTAATAAAGTCTATAGAAAAAAAATCCAACTGATTTTACATAATTGTAATTTATTATATAAAAAATACTCATTTAGTAAACATCTAAATATTATAGGTAAAGTTTTTTTACTTCAATAAGTAAACTTATATTGCTTCTTATTTGTTATTTTAATAAAAAAAATTAGATTTGTATAAGTCATATTTAGATGAGAATCTTGATCTTTAGATCAAAAAATTATAATTTTCATATCTGATTTTATTTTATATAAACTAAAGTGAAGATTTATTTTTTTATATGTAAAGAAAGCCCAAAGCTTAAAGAATAAATCTGTTAAAGAATTAAGTATTATTAATAGTTAGTGTATTTTTAAAAGTTATTTTAGTTTTTATTTATATTAATTTTTAATTATAATTTATTTAATTTCATTAATTTTACTTTTACTTTTTTGTTACTTAATTCTATTTCTTCAATTTATTTATATAAACTCTTATAATTATTAAATTTTACTTTTGTTTTTAAATATTAAGGTGAGTACTTGCAATCCAGAATTTTATTGATAATATATTTGACTAATAGTTGTATTACAACTACAGGTGGAAATTATAAAAAGAGTGTACAACTAGCTACTCATACAAGTTTAGTTATTGTCTAATTTAAGTAGTCTGCCTGAAGGATCTAAACTAGCTGCTATATCTGAAACCTGCTTGTAGATCTCTATTTAACTATTCTAGTTTCTATATCCACTCACCTACCTCTGTTTATCAATGATCCTAACCAATATTAGTGAAAATATATCATGGTCACTAAGTCTTTAAAGCAGTTCTTTAGAATCTTTGATTTTGTACTAAACCTTCCAGAATCTTTTGTATCTCATTCTTATAGCTGACCTAATATTGCTATGGCTAAGACTAATACTAGCAGTCAAAGCATACCATTAAACTACTATGACCTTACTATTTTGGTATTTAATTCAAGTTTTACCAACTGCTATTCCAAATAGTTCAAAAAGGTAGATTATAATTATACACCTCTGGTTTACATGTTTGCTAGCATGTACTCTTTTTCTTCAAAATCTAGAAATTCTGACAGCCTGGTTGGTTCATCTGATTCTTTTTCAAAGACTGATACATTTGCTTGGTTTCATAAGTTCTAGCTTTATTTTATAAGTCTAGTCTTTATAGTAGCATCATTGAAAGTTTAGGTTATCTCTTAACTCAGGTCTTCCAAGTAGGCTTCCATCTTCCTATCTGGTTTTTGTGATTTATATAGTCTAAGGACTTATCTTGGGTTTACACTGCCCAGTACTGGTTTGTGTTCCTTCATACAACATTGTATGAGTGCCTAGACCTTCTAGTTATACTGATATGATACAGGTTACAAGTATCTAATTTTAATTAATCATAAAAAACAGTTAGCTATAATATAGAAAGAATTACAAAATTTTGTTATCACTGAAATTGAACTTTAAACCTGCTATTTGGGGATTGACAACCTATCTACTTCACTAGATTACTATACTCTTATTATTAAATTTTACTTCACTATTGATATATCATAATTAGTATATTTAATATATTTAATAAAAAGAAATAAAATATTTAAGTAATATGCTCAAATGTAAAAAAATAAAATTTTTATAATATTATAATAAAGAATAACTACCTTATATACTTACTAAATTTAATGTCTTTTTTGAGAATTACAACATCTAATATTATACAAACAATTTATAATTATTCTATAAATAAAAAATTTGAAATAATTTTATAGTATATTATAATATTATATAAAGTTAAGTTAATAAAAATTAAAAAACTATTGACTTCACAACATTGTTCTTAATCAAATTACATGTAAAAAATCCTTACAAATCATATTGAACTTGTTAAAAACAAAGCCAAACTTAGCTGCACAATTCCTACTAGTATACTGCTTTACCTTTAGCTATACAATATTCATAATGTATAGGATATTCAACTACAACATTACATTACAAACTTTACTAAAAGGCTTAATTCTCCTAATCTTTTGGGAATAAGCACTTGTATTAGGATTTAACAACTTCAGAACAACTTGTGGTTATCTACTAGTTTTCTAATACATGATAATCCTATTATTGACAGGCTTAAAAAATATACTATTAACTTCAAAATCATTCAATTCTTTAGACATCTTGGCATAATACTTACATCTAATCCACTATACAATATTCTATACACTATTCAAGAAGAGTCTACTTTACTTAAATCAATACTTTCATCACATACTAAATATTTAACATTTAAAAAACAACTTAGACACTATTTTATTCTTTATTTAGACTAACTTATTACATTCGACAACTTATGTTTTCTAGAATAGAAACATATATTTTCACATATAAACAAAATTCCTAAAGGCAAACTACCACTTTGGTTTAGCTATTTAGAAGACCAAACAACAAGCCACTTATATAATTGTACTTTTCATCAACATTTACACTTACCTAGTACTAATTACTATAGTTATTCAACTGAATACTTTTCTTTACAAAAAAAATCATGGCTTATTACAGTACCTGATGATCAAATTATTACTGAAAAGCCAAAAAACAATCGTTAATACATACAACAAATCTTTTAACTTTAATGCCAATCACCTTGACTTTATATACTTCATACAATTTGACATCCTATTCAAATTTCTAAGTTTCCTAATAACAACATTACAACAAACCTAATTCTAAGTATATTTGAACCTGGCACTTTAACAAACAATTTTTAACAAATCACCAACTATAATGCACAATTATCAGAACTCTATTTTTATACAGATAGCTTTGTCATTAACCTGGATATCTCACAATGCTTTATAAGTATCAAATGTGTCCAAATTTTAAACAACAATATACTGTATATATTCCAAGCCCAAGCTAGATACTGGCTTTGCTTATTTAAGTCCAAGCTTACTGCTATCTTATTAGCTCTTATTACTGCTTCTAAAGACAGTATTATACACATATATACTGATTCATAGTCTATAATCTCTAAATATCACAGTCTTTCAAACTTAAACCATACTCTATTTTATACACATACATCATATTTTTTATTATAGAACACACTTATTAACTTTGTCAAATCATACAATATTTTATTATTTTTCACAAAGTTATTGCTCACCAGAATGATTAGTACAATAATCTTGCAGACCAACTTGCACACAGTTACTACAACCTGCTATATCTTACTTTTATGTCTTATAATATCTACAATCTTATATACATCTTAAATTTTGAAAAGTTTCCTTTAGAACTATCTACTCATTACAGTATCTATACAATATGTTATGCACATTTTTATATACTATAAATTACACAAAATTGTTTTCAAAAATGGTACAAAATACTTAACCAAGTTAATTGGCAAGCCACTTGGCTATATATCAACAATAACTAAAAAATCTCAAACTTTTTACATAGTTTTCAGTCTTCTACTCTTAAATTCTTTAGAATTAAAATTTTATTAGATAATCTTTCTATTCCACATATTTTACACAAATGAAATCACTTATACTCATCTACGTGTTATCAATGTTATCAAATTAGTTTTTACCTTTATTAAACAACTTGTCTATCTAATCAATTGCTATACAGCCTTATTGATATTTTATTACAACATACTTTAAATACTAAAATACTTAACACTACTTCAAATACTATAATTAATTTACATAACCAAATTAAGCTGTCAAGTAGTATAACTATTTACAGTATACCAGAATTACTTTCAGTTTTCTCAACTCTAACTGGGCTAATACCAAATAAACTTATCAACATTATTGCAAGTTTGTCATCTCAAAAAGTAGCCACAACACTTGTTATTAAGTTTTTACTTCATCTTAACTAACAAATCTATCATAAAATCTGAATTTTATACTGCATCTCAAGATTTACAGCTCAACTTCCTGAACATGATATACTTCCAAATACTGCCTTACCTTTATTACATTCTCTTTAACTCAACTCTATTAGTTCAAAAATAAACTTCTAGTATATCTAATAAATTAAATATTAAACTAATCTTTTATATATAATTACTAATAATTAAATCTAGGTAAGCCTTGGCCACTCCAGTTGGTTTAGATTGCAGATAAATTAGTCTGAACTTCTATTCTTTCTATAATATTTTAAAAGCAGAATTGTACTTTATGTAAAATCTCAATTAAATATTCAATAAAGATAGAGGCATGGCCTCACCATTAATATTAAAAAAAAAAAAATTTAAAAAAACTTTACTAATAATGAAGTTTGTATATTATATAATGTAATCTATAGTTTATAGCCAAGTTAATATGTTTGTATAATTCTTAGCATATGATTAAGTAATCTGTTATTGTAACTTTGTATATTATACTGAACAATACTTAAAAGGTAAGTACTAGAACCAAATGCCTCTGTATACAAAATCTTGTAATTGATTAGTCTATGTGACTTATTCATTATTTAATATTTTTTTAAAAAAATATAAATAAGTATATACATCTGTAAAATCAAATATGCTATAATAAACAATAGTAAAAATAAGTTTTTTAGATATAATAATTAGTATGCTAAATATTTGGTAATTTTTATTTTTTTCATTAAATTTCTTATTAGATAGATAAAATAATAATCACTAATTATTAAGAACTTAATTAAAAAAATTTGGTAATTATTTTTAAATATAAGTATGCTTCATAGATTTTTAATGTTTTTTTGCAAACTTCAAAATTTTGAGTCAGATTCATTAAAACTAAGTAATATTAGCTAACCAACTATATAGCAGTTAGATATTA